ACAGCTGGGGCTACAGGGAGACCCTGTCTCAAAAAGACAAAAAAAAAAAAAAAGAAAGAAAAATCTATATCCTTGGCCTAGCAATTACACAGACATAAACAGACCTTGAGGTAATAAGTAAGAGTGTACAAATTGGTTGGACAGTTATGGTAATAGCTATTAATTATTGAGTGTTTCTTGTATATTAGACACTGCTCCAAGCACTTTACAAGAATTATACTGTCTGGAGCTGGAAAGTTGGCTCAGAGACTAAGAGCACTGGTTGCTCTTGCAGATGACCCAGGGTTAATTCCCAGCACCCAAATACCAGCTAACAACTGTCCTAACTCCAGTTCTAGGGGATCCAATACGCTCTTCTGACCTCTGTGGGCATTGCATGACATGGGTACACTTACATACATGCAGGCAATACATTCATACATATGAGCTATAGTCATAAAATCACGTGATACTGGCACAAAAATAGACACATAGATCAATGGAACATCATTGAAAATCCAAACCCGAGTACATGCAATTTCAGAGACCTGGTATTTGACAAAGGTGCCCAGAACACACAATGGAGGAAAGACAGCATCGTCAACAAATGGTGCTGGCAAAACTGGATCTCAACATGTAGAAGAAAGAAAGTAGATCCTTATCTTTCACCTTGCACAAAAGTCAACTCCAAATGGATCAAAGACCTCAATGTGAAAATGGAAACTCTGAAACTATTAGAAGAAAATATTGACAGCAACTTACAAGATATAGGTAAAGGAAAGGATTTTCTAAATCAGACAGCAGTTGCTCATGAATTTAGGTCAGCAATCAACAAGTGCAGCCTCATTAAACTAAAAAGCATCCAGTGACACATCTGACAAAGGTTTAACATATAGAATATATAAAGAACTCAGAAAACAAAGAATCAAGAAACCAAATGACCCAATTAAAAGATGGGCTAAAGTTCTAAAGAGAGAGTTCTCAAAGTAAGAAATAAAGATGGCTAAGAAACATCTCCAAAAGTATTCAACATCACTAGTAATTAGGGAAATGCAAATTAAAATCACCCTAAGGTATCACCTTACCCCAATCAGACTGGCTAGGATCAAGAGAACAAGTGATACCAAGTGCTGGCAAGGATGTGGAGAAAGGGGAACACTCATTCACTGCTGGTGGGATTGCAAACTCGTGCAACCTCTACGGAAAACAGGGTGGAGAACTCTTAAAAAATTAAAAATGAACCTACCATATGACACAGTTTTACCACTCCTTGGCATATACCCAAAGGACGCATCCTATTGTAGAGACACTTGTACAACGTTTGTTGCTGCTCTTTTCACAACAGTTAAGAGATGGAAGTAGCCTAAGTGCCCCTCAACTGGCGAGTGATTAACAAAAACGTGGTATATTTACACAATGGAGTTCTATTCAGCAGTAAAGATGAAATAATGAAATTTGCAGGTAAATGGATGGATCTAGAAACTGTTATACCTAAGCAAAGTACCACAGACTCAGAAAAACAAACAATGTATATTCTCCCTCATATGTGGATCCTAGCACCAAATCCTTTTAAATTCCAGGTCCTTTTAATAAGATGATGTTATACAACAGTCCCTTCTGCATGAAATAACTACCATCATCACGACTTCAGCTGAGCCTGATCATTAAACAGCATCACGACTGGGTTTGTTGACAATTGTGCTCATTCATTAAAGGAGGGGCAAACAGGGTCATTGGACCCTCACTGGAGTATCCAGCCACTCTTCCCAGCCAACTGTATGTAATTTGGCCCTAATCACACATGGACTCCTGGATTTGGGAAGGCCTAAAGTATACAATCTGGGGAAGGCTAGGAAGAGAAGGCATGACCCATGACCCATGCTGGGTAAAGGCTTTCCAGTGTGCATACCCTCAGGTCGTACATACACCTCAGAAACCCCTCAGTTATATCACTAAGTAAGCTCAATAAATTCATTGGTCCCCAATAGAACTTTAATCAAACATTGGCTTCACACTAGAACCTTAAAAGGGAATAAACATTGCTTAGCATACCCAGGAAAAGAAGTCTCACAACAGATGGAAAATTTATTTGTTAATGCTATTATGTCTCATAATTATTTTTATAAAAAGAAAATGAGAATGTAAAAGATGTTAAAAAGTGTATGGGAATGGAGATATTTTCCAAAATAGAAAAAATGAGAAAGCCTAAGCAAGTGATGAAGGTCTGTGTAGGTTTGTTATGATATAGAAAGAATGAGACAAAAATAATATACACATAACCTTAAAATGTGTATGGTCATAGTTTAGTCAACTAGTTTAAGGAACAAAATATACATTTAGTCAAGGTTTAGTCAAGAGGACGGTCAACGCAAAGGAAACATCTCATTCATGCTTCCAAGTGAAGCAAGACATGGTTGAGCAGGACCTGTGACTTATCTTCACACAGATGGAACTGGTAAAAGAAAGGAGCCAGGGGCACCTCCCAAGTCCATGTGACCCCTGAGGAACAGATCCTCAAACGACCTTAAGTGTAAAAATAAATTGATTTATTTGGGCCAACTGTATGGTCTTAAACACCCAAAAGGAAAGTATAACCAAAGAGTAAAGTCATCAGTATATTTCTTTAACAGTTGAAGGGATTACACTTCCCAGACATTAGGCTTAAGTCTACATAAAAAGTTGTTTAGACAATTATTTCTCATTGATGATTTTGTTCCTAATCAGAAAGTACTGCTCAGATATAAGATTTCAAATCTTGGTCTCCAATACTGTAGTTCCCACCTGTGGCTAAGTGAGACAACCAGCTATTGTTCTAAAACGATGGCTAAATTTGTTTTCTCCCCCTATCTAAAAGCCTTTGAGAGGGAACTGACACTGATTCTAGCCACTCCAACAGCTATCAAAATACTTGAAAACAAATCCTGAATCCATCACTCTAGAGTCCAGCCTTAGCAGACAAAAGAAAATTGAGGAGGAGCCCAATAGAGTGATGCTTTTGGAAGCTCTCCTCAAGAAATTCCAATGGACTCTGATATGAACATTTGAAATTTGCCCAGTTCTGACTTCTTCTGGTTCCCTGTCTAGAACTTGTAATACTAACTGCTCCTGCCTTTACTTGCCCTTCACATCTCCTATTCACCAGTCAAGGACTTTCTTTTCACCTTACAAATAAGAGTTATACAATTTGGGAGTCTTTTAGATAGACCCACTGAAGGGGTACCCCACTTGCCTCACCCTGCATCCCTGTTCAGCATGTTAGAAGCCGAAGCAGTCTGAATCCCAATTCCCTATTGGCAATTTGGGTAACCCCTTCAGAGGATGGCATGATAAGAACAAGAGGTAGGAATTGGCTGGGCAGTTAGAGTAAAAAGACCCCAAGGAAAAGTAGCCAGTTTTTTTGGCTAAAGGTCAAAATGTCTTTGGGCTTCTTAGCAACGTTCCAAAGGCCAAAAATGTCAAAATTATTTGGGAGCTTGTATCTAATCCTTAAAAGATTTAGGGTTACCTCTTCAGAGGAGGGAATGTTAGAGCAGCAAAAAGTGCCATTAAAAAAAGAAGAAAGAGTAGTACATGAAGTTGTCCAAAAGAAGCGATAGAGAGATATGGGAGGAGTTGGAGGGGAGGGAGTGGGCATGGATTTGATCAAAACATGTAATATGCATGTATAAAATTCTCAATAAATTTTTTAAAGTAAAAAAAGCATAAAAAAAGTCCTGTTCAGAAGAGCATCAGTTGTCCACTTGACACACCTAGGATGAAGAAACCTCCATTAGGGAATTTCTTCTATTGCAGCCATGTCTGTGAGGTATTGTCTTGGTTACTGAGTGATGAGGGAGAGCCCAGTCCACTGTGGGTGGTGCCACCCCTGAGCAAGTGGCCCTGAGTTGAATAAGAAAATAGGCCGAGCACAGGCCAGAGGAGCCAGTCAGCAGCATTCTTCCATGGTCTGTGCTTCAGTTCTGGCCTCCCAGTTCCTGCCCTGGTTTTTCTCAAGGATGAATTGTGATCTGGACATGTATGTCAAATAAACACTTTCTTCACCAAATTGATTTTTGTTGAGTGTTTTATTAGAGCATTAGAGAAGCAAACTAGGACAAGTACTGTCAGCTAGACAAGCAAGCCCGGAACCTGAGTCATGCTATAACTTTCCTTGCCTTTCCCCTTTTACCCCAATCGTCACTTTAAGTTTCTACATGTAAAACATTAAAATCTGCCACATATGGTGGTGTACACTTTTAATCTCTGTACTTGGGAAGTAGAAGCAAGAGGACCAGGAGTTCAGGGTCATTTTCAGCTACACAGTGAGGCCAACTTGGGGCACATGACAGTCCCATTAAAAAGAAAAAAAAACAGTTTGAGAACCACAAGACAAATTTCAAACAGCATGATCGGGGTCTCTAAATTAAAAGGATCTGTGTTAATGTATTACCTCTTCCATTTTCTAGCTGTAATGGGCCTAGTCAAGTGCAATGACTTCTCTGTTATTCAGCTTCAGTAGCAGATTCCAGCAACAGTACTGTTGTGAGGATTAAATCAACCACTGTGTATAAAGTAACCAGCAACACTGCTAATGCAGTAACAGGCATTCAATCCTATTTCCCTTTGCACTTGTCTGGCCTCTGCTCAATGCCTTTTTAGTTATTTCTCTAGCTACAAATCTTAGACTTATGCCACAGACATGCTCAGTTACTCACAGCCCTCCCTCACAATGACCACAGTATGCTGTCTCATGTTTCAAAATTGTTGATCACACTAATTTCTCTCCTGCAAAATCTTACCCTTGGTCTCACATTATAGAATATATTATCACACAGATTTCTTCACATCTAGCTCCCCTACTTAAGAAAATGAATTTAGGAAGACAGAGACAAAGTACATGTGTCCTTGTATCCCTAAATACATAGCACAAAGCCTAGAAGATGGTAGGCATCCCACTAATGTTTACAAAATGACTACGATAGAAATTAAATCATGTGGGGAGCAGCACTCTTGTGTTACTCCAGTAAGTTTGCAATACTTACAATAACAATGCAAGCACCTTTCAATTTGTCACCTGGGATATTAAAACATCCTATTGGAAATCCTAATGTGCAATACTCCTCTCCATCTTCCATATCATGACACCATATCATGGGCATATTATCAATAACCCTAGATGAGAAAAATTTTAAAATAAAAGATTTAACAAACATTTTCATATCAAGCAACATGTGTTATCTTACAAATACTTAAGTTCAAATGTCAATCAAACTCAAAACATAAAAGGTATAGATTTCTTTTTGTCTTTTTGAGGCAGGGTCTCCTTGCAGCCTCAGCTGGCCTAAAGCTCACTGTGTGGACCAGGCTGGCCTTGAACTCACGGAGATCTGTCTGCCTCTGCCTCCTGAGTGCTGGGACTAAAAGCACGTGCTACCACGCCCAGTTAAAGTATGTAATTTTTTATTAAAAGTACTTTTTTTTGGTCTTTTTGAGACAGGGTCTCCCTGTAGCCCCAGCTGTCCTGGAACTCACTATGTAGACCAGGCTGGCCTTGAACTCACAGAGATCCGCTTGCCTCTGCCTTCCAAGTGCTGGGATTAAAGGCGTGCGCCACCACACCTGGCCCTATTAAAAGCACTTTTAAAAATATTTTTATTGATTTGAGAATTTCATACAATGTATTTTGATCATACTCAGGCTCCCTGCCCCCCTTCCACCAATACAGTGCAACCTCATGTCCTCTAGTATTGCCTTTTTGGAAAGGCCTATCAAATCTGATCTGTTTCCTAAATGCTTTTGGGTTATCTGTTGGAATCTAGTCAACCTCCCAGTCATGACATCGGTAAGGAAAACTGACTCTTTTCCTGGCACCTATCAATTGACAGCAGATCCTCACCAAGGCCCTGGGCTTCCTGTCTACTTTACATCCATGTTGGACTCCTGTCTAGTCCAGGTTGTGCATGCTGTCATAGTGCTATGAGTTCATATGTGCAGCTACCCCGTGGTATTCAGACAACACGGTTTCCTTGCATTCATCTACCACTTCCACCTCTGGCTCTTATGATTTTTCTACTCCCTCTTCCACATGGCCCCTGTATTAAAATTACTTTTGAAAGAAATAAAAAAATTAAGTCAGTTGCAGATTCCAAACCTACCAGGAATGATAGTAATTCTGCATTATTCTGTTCTTCAGAAAAGCCAGTTTGTTCATTTGATCTTTATTTTGTGCAGTATAAGATTTTACACAAACTTTCCTACATGTTTCTTCTTTCTTGAAAGAAAACTATAAAAAATTAAAAATAGTAAGAAATTGTCAAAATTTTATGAGTCAAATGTCACCAAATAAACAATTTATCTTACAGGTAATTTTTTTCTTCGAAAACATATGTCATCCTTCTCACAACATCTCCTCTCAGTTTCACTTTATAATTGAAATTATTTCTCTAGACATGCATGAAAAAGCTTTTATCACCAAAGGGAAGACTTCATCTTCTTCCATATACTAGGGTTCAAATACAATTTGTCCCCTCAAAGTAATGCAAGGTTCATTCTATATCATTAAAATATAACTTTCTGTTAATGAGATTAAGGGGGCAAAAACTCAATCTCACTATATTTCCATTTGAGGCATTTGTAAAGTGACTAAATTAAGCCATTAGGTTAGGACCCTCATGATTGAATCCTGGTGGCCTTAAAAGGGAGAACAAGCATGTACTTCTACCATTTTATGACGCAACCCAGAAGGGTCAGTGTCAGAGCTAGTACAATGGTGTTTGGGCCTTGTACCTCCAGAACGGTGAGTCAAGATAAACTTCTTTTCCTTTTTATTTGAGAGAGATTTGAGGGAGGGAGGGAGGGAGGGAGAGAGGGAGGAAGAAGAGAGAAACACCGTGGTCCATGTAATGGAGATCAAGTACAACTTCTGGGAGCCACTTCTCTCCTTCCACCATGTAGACCACACGGATTGACTGAACTCAGATTGTCAGGCTTGGTGGCAAGCACTTTACCAACTAAGCCATCTCACAGCCCCTACTTTTCATTTTGTTACTGTTGTGTTTTTTGAGACAGAATTAGGTCTAAAAAAGAAAAAAAAAAAACAAATTGCTTGGCACACATACGCACATGTGTAAACTAGTCAAATTCTGTGCTTTAGATATATGTATTTGTTGTAGTTCAATAAAATCAAGAATAAAGTAAAACAAAGTAAATTTCCTCTCATAACTGCCTACAAAAACATTTTATCCTCCTATTTGGTAATATATTGAAGGTAAACTAAATACATAATCAGTGTCCAATTATATCTCCTTATATCTTCCTGCCCAAGATATGAACAGTGCAATACATTCACTGCTTTACTTTATAAAGTTTAAAAGAAAAACTGGGGGAAAAAAACTTTGTATTTCAGGCATGGTGGCACACATCTTTAATTCCAGTACTTAGGAGGCAGAGGTAGTGGATCTCTGTGAATTTGAGGCCAACCTGGTCTACACAGTGAGTTCCAGAATAGGCAGAATAACATGATAAGACCTAGTTTCAAATAAATAAACAAACAAACAAATAAAAAATAAATATCTTATGTGAGCTAGGTATGATGGCTCACACTTGTACTACCAGAAGTGGGGAGGTTAAGGTAGGACTACCATGAATTTAAGGCCAGCCTAGGCTACAGGGTGTGACCCTGTCTTTAAAAGAGAAGAGCAGGGCCAGGTGTGGTGGTATGTGCCTTTAACTCTGGAGAAAGAAGCATGTGGATCTCTGTGAGTGCAAGATCAGTTTGGTCTATATAGTGAGTTCCAGGTCAACAGGGGCTATAGGGAGACCCTGTCTCAAAAAAACAAAACTAAAAAGTAAGAGAAGAGCAAAAACATCAGTCCTATCGGCAACACTAGTTCTAAGACAGACTGAGCTACATACAAAAACCTTGCCCCATAATAAAAAAAAAAATCCTACTCACTGGGTGTGATGGCATACACCTTTAATTTCAGCACTTGGGAGGTAGAGGCCTATTGATCTCTGTAAGGCAGACAAACCCGGTCTACAAAGTGAGTTCCAGATCAGCTGAGGCTACAGGGAGACCTCTGAAAAATTAATAAATTTTAAAAAATCCAAGAACAGAAAATTAAATTCAATTATATTAAAAGGGCTGGGGGTGGCAGCTCTGTGGTAAAACACTTGCCTATCATGTATGATGCCCAGTGTTCACTCCCCACTACCCTTTCCCTCACACAACCTTTTATATGGAATAACTACCAATGATACTTTGACATGTTCCTCTGACATTAGATTCTAGCTCCTTTTCTTTTTCTTTCCCTCCTTTTAAAACAAAGAATCAATTTTAAATAGTTTTTAGAAAATTCTTTCAAAAGTAAGATTTAATGATAAAATCTGCTGAATAACCTTATAAGGAGATGATGTTATTTGTTTTCCAAATAGTATTTGTCCAAGAGTTTCAGGAGGTGTTTTCTTTAAGTCATCTTGACAGAAGTCAAAGCTAAGAGAGAAGAGGTTCAAGTAAGACTTTTTAAATTGACAAAGAAATCTATCTTTATAATTCATCTAGCATCTCTACTGTTAGCAACACTTCTTATAAAATTATGACCTGGAATATGTCAACTTGTGAATTATCTCAATGTATATTTCTCTTTAGATTGTCTAACCTCCACATACATTGCTTAAAGGCTTGTGTTATTTCTCTTGACTTTTTTAACATAGGAAATCACAATTTTTTAAAGCCCTCACAACATTATCAGTGTTAGACTTCAAATTACGTGGAAATATGGAAACAGAAATTTCAAATCCATACTAATTCTAACCCAGGACATTCAGAAACCAAAATTATTAGTTCTAATCAAAGAGGAATTTCTTCCTAAACATACTCCCATGTACTCGCAAACAGTTACTGAGAAGAATTAGAAGTTCCTTCCAATTAAAATAAATATAAAATTATTTAAATAGAAAAGAAAGTGATATAGTAGCCTTGTATATATTTTATAAAGCAAGATATTATGGTCTGAAGAAAAAAACAGAGTGTTGCATATATTTTAAATCCTTGGGCTAATATATTTATACCTGGCATTGTGACAAACGTCAGACTGGATTTTATTTCGCTGTTATTAGAAGAAATAAAGTAACACCAAAGGACACCACAATATTTTTCTCTAATGTAGAGCACTTAGATTTTTCCAAATGATAAGTCATACTTAAGTTTTGTTATGCAATAAAAGAGCACTATTAAACAGAACATCATCATTCATTAAAACCTTTTCTCAGGAACTTAGCCTATGTTTTAAATTTTAGCTGCAATTTGGTGAAGGCATTTTTTAAGGCCCAATGTACAGTAGATTCATCAACTGCCTTTCTAAGAAACAAAAATCAGTATAATTTTTAAGTACTAGTATTGCATTGAATGCTGCTTTAATAATGTCACGTGACCTTTATTATAAAATTGCATTTCTTAAACCTTTTCTCAGGAACTTAGCCTATGTTTTAAATTTTAGCTGCAATTTGGTGAAGGCATTTTTTAAGGCCCAATGTACAGTAGATTCATCAACTGCCTTTCTAAGAAACAAAAATCAGTATAATTTTTAAGTACTAGTATTGCATTGAATGCTGCTTTAATAATGTCACGTGACCTTTATTATAAAATTGCATTTCTTATACGGCTAT